TCTCATCTCAGGCAGGCACAGAATTCTTTAGAGATAACTCCCCCAGCTTATGAGGCCGGGGAGGAAGTGGCCGGAAGCGAGGGTCTGGTTCCATCCACACAGCAGGCCAGAGCAGCTTGGCTGTGCCCCACAAGGAACCCAACAAGAGAATGGCCCTCATCTCTGCACTGGTCAGAAACACTCTCCGCTCTGGGCTTGTGTGAAGCATGCCCTTCAGAAACTCAGAAACCCCTTTCCTGGATATCTGAAAAAAGAAGTCAACTTTCACAAATCACCAAAAGCTGAGGTGGGGGTGGGTGACTTCACTGCTATTTGCAGATTTTTTCTTTTTTAACCAAAGAATACGTATCACAGTAGAAAGGAAAAAGGATCCTCCATGTTGCTCCCCCAACCAAGGCTTGGCAATCTCTGCCCGGGCTCTCTTGCGCATTTCAGAAGCACCCCAGAAGAATCCAGATGGCACATTCTGACTGAGGGACCTGGAGATGGCGCTTCCAGGCTGCGAGTCAACCCCCACATACGCATGCCAACACACGCATGCACACAGGCAAAGTGGGGGAGGGCCCGGGCCCCAAGCCCCAGGCCCGTGGTGCCCCTCCCAGCCAGAGCCACCTCAGTTCCTGAGAAATAAATCATGCAGAGGGCTGGGGAGCCCCACAAATCCCTCAAGCAAACACACAAGTCAAACAGCACCATTTATCCTGCAAGGGCCTCTTCAAGTGAACAAGGCATGGGAGGGGCCAGGCAACAAAACCGGCCTTGTCCAGCGAGGTCAACCTTTGCCCTCGGGCCCTGTGGGGAGGAAACCTGTGGCCACCCCCGTGTCCCCTGCTCCCCTGCTTCCTCTGCTGCTGGCCTATCCAGGAATGAGCTTTCCACAGCCCAGCATCCAGCCCAGACCCAGTGAAGGTGAGGCAGCCCGGGCTGGGGAGAACAGGTGGTCCTGGCGGCTCAGAGATGCCCCCTCACCCCCGCCCTCGCCCCTGCGGCGGCCGGCCTCCTGTCCCGGTGCCATCCTAAGGTGGCACTTGCCAAGGGACACCGGTCCAGCTGAACAGAACTGGGGAAACTCACTGACCACTGTAACAAACTAGCCCCCCAAGGGTCACAGCTGTAGGAAAGGCCAGGAGAAGGAGGCATGGGCTGGAAGGGAGGGGCAGTGACCGTCCCATGTCATTTGTGGGGAGAACAGGAAAGGGGGGGAAGGGAGAGAGCGATCTCAGTCCGGATGTTTGTTCAAGCTGTGAAAGTCCTCGGGACAGCCAGAGAACGGGAGGTCATGAAACTTAACGCCTCATGAGGGCAGACTTTTTTTTATGATGAGGGGATAACCGGAGTCGTTTTCCCCAGCTATAATTCATACACTGTACAATTCGCCCTTTCAAGTGCCCCAGTCTGTGGAGCTGGTATATTTACAAGGTTGCAAATCCACAAGGTTGTGCAGTAAGTACCACTGCATAATTCCAGAATGTCATCATCCCCCCCACAAAAGGAAGCCCATGCCCATGAGCACCCACCCTCCCTCCTCCCGTCCCCCTGCTCCACACAAGCCCTCGGCTACCTTCTGTCTCTAGGGAATGCCCCGTTCCGGACATGTCACACAAGGGGAATCGGACACTGTGTGGTCTTTTGTGACTGGCTTCTTTCATTTCGCACAGTTTTCAAGGTCCATCCACGTGGGAGCAGGTGTTACTGCCTCATGTGTTTTCATGTTGGATGTTAATATTCCGCGGTAGAGCACAGACCACACTTTCCATATCCATTCGCCAGCCGATGGGACATCTGGACCATGTCCCTTTTCTGGCTACTGTGAATGACGCCGCTACGGACATTTACACCACGGGTTTCTGTGTAACAGCTGTCTGCAATTCTCTTGGGTACACACCTCGAAGTGGAATTGCTGGGTCAGAAGGGGACTGCATGTTCACAGCTGCAGGAACTGCCAACCTGACTGCAGAGGGACTGCCCCGTCTGACGGCCCCGCAGCAGGGCGGGGGCTCCGGCTACTAGTCCACATCCTCCAGGAGGGCCGATTTTACCCCAGCCTTGAAGAGACTCGAACGAGAGCAGCGATGAGAGCACACACTCAGGCAGGCACACGGCGCCACCACTCCACGTGCGACATCAGCTATCCTCCAGGACGACCATATGAGGTCAAGTCTGCTGCCCTGACAAAGTCCCATTCCGCCACTTTCTGGCAAGGCTATGGGCCTTCCCTTAGGCTAAGATGGGGCCAGAAACACACCTGAAATGAGAAATCACTCAAAGAAAAGTAAAATCCAAACTAAACCCACGGCGGAAGGCTGAGCCAGATTTAGACAGGGTGGAAAAATGCCCATAAATAAACGCGCCCGGAAATGGTGGGGTGAAGGTAAAGACAGGGAGGTAAAGCCGGCACCCCCAGCCCTGGGCAGAGAAGGCGCACAAACCCTCGGCTGGGGCCATCCCTGCCTCTCACTGTGGTTTCCCACCGCTGTAAAAGGGAGTCAACAAAAACAGAAAGGGAAGCAGCTAGAATGAACCCATGGTATTGTGGTGTTGGACTGGAACTGGGAGTGTTAGCGCAAACTCACGGTTTTCAATACTGCTGCTACATATCGAATATCCAGATATATGAGGGGGAGTGGGAGACAAGAGACATGGAAACTCAGATATTCCCTACTCTGGCTACTGACACGGCTTGGGAGCAGTGATTCCCCAGGAGCTATGTGCACACCTGGCATTCAGATCTTGCCTCTAAGTACCATCCTCTACTAAAAGGAATGAAAACTCCTTGGAGAAATGGCTGATTCCCAGGGCAAGGGCAGGAAATGCAATGAGCCTGGGACGACATCTCCCAGAGAGCAAGAAAGTGTTCAAAGAGAGAGAAGGGCCTGTCAAAAAGTCAGAGAAGCATCTTGAAGGGGCTCCCACCGGCCACAATGAATCACAACCCGCTGAATAAAGCAGGAAATCAAGAGTCCACATAGAGACAGACGGGCAAAGGGAAAACAAGTAACTCTGCAGAAGAGAAGGCTGGAGACATCACCTTCATCAAGTGACCAAAGGGAACATCACCGGTAGCGGCTCCTAACCAAACAAGTCCCAACCTCTAAGACAACTGAGAAGGTGGCAACATCACTTCTATGACAGTCCCAAGATGCACAAATGGAATCAAACCACCAAGATCAGACAAATCCAGGTGGAGGGACATGCTATGGCTGGCCTGGCATCTTCTGAAGCATCAAGATGAGGTAAATCAAAGCTGGAGGAACTCTTCCAGATTGAGGGAGACCAAAGAGATCTGACAACTACATGCAATGCCTTATTCTGGCCTGGATCCTTTTCCTATTAAAGACATAATTCATACAACTGGCAAGACTCAAATTGGGGTCTGATGAATAGATGGTATTATGTATCAGTGTTACCTTCCTCATGTTGATGTTTGTGTTACTGTCATGTAGGAGAATATCCTCGTTTATTAAAAAGCACACAGGATGGCAGTTTGTTGTGGAATGACAAGGGGTAAAAATTCTTTGGGCTGTACTTGCAACTCTTCTGTAAGTTTACAGAATTTAAAATTACAAAATTGAAATTGTAAATGAAAAAAAAAAGCAAGACAGATAATGTCATGCTACATGATCAGATGAGCAAGGATTGTCCCATATGAGCTTTGTGTGGAGCAAGCCCCAACAATCCTGCTTTAACTCAGGGAGCCATAAATGATTTCGATGGGGACAGGGACGCTCTACAGCAGTGCTCAGGATGCTCTGCCGCTCACTGGGACTGCCTTCCCACCCTAAACACACAACCATCTATGCACACAGGACATGGCCTCGGCCCCTGCTGTCAGCCCGGGCAGTTCCATCTGTGAGCTCTAAGAGGAGAACTGGCCAACAGCACTCACAGCAAGCCAGTTTTCTCACTGACTGGTCCACTCCTATGCTTTTGTCCATGTGAAACAAGAGTCGAGCAAAGCGAAGAAACTACCTTGCAATGCAAGCCAGGAGCAAAGGAAGAGGACACACTCCCACCAAAAAATAACAACAACTACTACTCCATCTCTTATCTGCACAGGGCTTCAATACTTCCAAGCTTCTCTCCATCTGTAAGAGCTCACATGACCCATACAAAGGGAGGAAGCTACAGACCCACAAGTCCCCTTACTCTGTCAAATTCCTATTCCACGCTGAACAGCACTGCAATGCACCTCCTCCCTGATAGCCCTTGCAACGTTCACAGAGATACAGAGATCTGTGTGATCATTTGACTAGCATTAGTCTCCCCCATGGGACTGCAGAGTTCAAGAGTGTCTGCTCACAGATATCCCAGTGCCTCATATTAGACATTCCAAAAATACTTACTAAATGATCACATGGCTACGTAGGAGGGTGGATGGATGGATGGTAGGTGTGTGGGTGAATGGGTGGAAGAATGTAAGGGGAGTAAGAGGATGGATGATGGGTGGGTGAGTGAGGGATGCATGGAAGGATGGATGATGGGTGGAAGGACAGATGGGAGGTGGAAAGATGGATGATGGGTGGAAGGATGGATGACGGGTGGGAGGATGGAAGGGAGGTGGAAGGATGGATGATGGGTAGAAGGACAGATGATGGGTGGAAGGATGGATGGTGGGTGGAAGGATGGATGACGGGCGGAGGATGGATAATAGATGGAAGGATGGATGATGGATGGAAGGATGGATGGTGGGTGGAAGGATGGATGGTGGGTGGAAGGATGGATGGTGGGTGGGAGGATGGATGGTGGGTGGGAGGACGAATGATGGGTGGGAGGACGAATGATGGGTGGGAGGACGGATGATGGATGGAAGGATGGGTGGAGGTGGGAGGATAGATGATGGATGGAAGGATGGATGGAGGTGGGAGGATAGATGATGGATGGAAGGATGGATGGAGGTGGGAGGATGGATGGAGGTGGGAGGATGGATGATGAGTAGATGGATGAGCGGGTAGGAGGATGCACAACCTTGGTCTGCCCCTTGCCACCCTGCCCGGCTCTACCTGCTGCTGTTGGGCCCGGAGGTCACCGATCTCCTTCTGGTCCTCCTCATGGAGCCGCTTCATGTCCTCCCACGACTGCTGCAGCAGGTTACGTTCCCGCAGCAGCTGTCCGTTCTCCCGCCTCAGCATGTCCACGTCATCCTTCAGCTGGGTCTGGTCGCTCAGGAGCCGGCTATGGAGTGTGCTACAACCCCCATACACACAGTGAACGGCAGCCAGCCTCCAACCCCTGCCAGCCCCCTTCTGCAGCCCCTCCAGGCCCAGTAGGCCCAGTACACCCGATGGGAGCCCACAGCAACCAGGACAGCAGCACTCAGAGACAGGCCAAAACTCGGTATCAGCCAAATGCCAGAAGGAACCAAACCATCTTTAAAAACCTCATAGCAAAGGGCACACGTATGAAGGCCAAGGCAAGGAGACGAGCCCTTACCTGGTACAGGCCTGGCACCTCTGAGGACTGAGGCCTGGGCAAAGGTCAGCAGGTGGGCAGGTAAAGCAGGTCAGTACCCTCAGAGGGGCCCCAGGAGACCAAAGGGGAACAGGCCCATCCACCTCTCCTACCGCAGGAGCTGCAGCAAAGCCCTTGGACAGTGACCCAGGAGGCCAGCCATCTGCCTGGCCTACTGCCTAATTTTCCCATCCAAGTACTAACCAGGCCCGACCCTGCTTAGCTTCCGAGATCAGATGAGATCAGGCGCGTTCAGGGTGGTATGGCCGTAGACCCTACCGCCTAATTTTTGATCCCTTTCCTACCAGCTCTGCTTCCGAAGCTGTCACTAGCTGGTGTGAAGGGTTCACATCTCAGCCTGCACTTAGAAAAACTGAGACGCAGGGCGTCTGGGTGGCTCAGTCGGTTAAGCGACTGCCTTCGGCTCAGGTCATGATCCCGGAGTCCCGGGATCGAGTCCCGCATCGGGCTCCCTGCTCGGCGGGGAGTCTGCTTCTCCCTCTCCCTCTGCCTGCTGTTCCCCCTGCTTGTGCTTGTTCTCTCTGTGTCAAATAAATAAAATCTTAAAAAAAAAAAAAAAAAAGAAAGAAAGAAAAACTGAGACCCAAAGACCCAACCCCACTTGCTGAAGGCCCACTAAGTGCCATGCGGCGGTCCCACTCACTGGTAGAAGTCGGTCTCCTTGGCCACCTCCTCGCACCTCTTCAAGGCATTGGCGTGCTGCTTCTGCAGGCTCTGCAGGTCCGACATGGCCCGCACGCACTGGATCTTCAGCCTCTCGTAGTCAGGATTCAGCCTGTGGTAGGGCCTGACCCAGAGAGCGGCACTGAACACAGGCCCTGGGATCACTCGGACAGGGGATGTCTCTGCCCGGGGAGCCTCCAGCCCAGTGTCTCCGGATACTGGTCTCCTGTGCACCCCAACCACCTGGCACTTGTTCAACTCAGACATCCTGGCCTCCCCAGACCCACAGGATCCCTGGCATGGAGGGCCATGGCTGCATGGGCTCCTTGCTCGGGCCTGGAGAGCTCAGAAGGTACTGTCTTATTCTCTAGCAGCTCCCAGGGAGGCCGTGCAGCAGGCCTTCACCCACAGTGGGCCCCCCAGAAACCTGTGAGGAAGCTTCTCCTCTTTTTAGGAAAGCGACTGTCAACCTTGGGATAATCAAAACACCAAGGCCCAGTCCAGTTACATGAGCATCCTTGGGGGTATGACCCAGACACCAGGGTGGGGGTTCTGGTGTGCAGCCACTGGTGAGGACACTGGCCCAGAGCATGGCTTCTCAGAGTGGGGTTCCCAGACCTGCAGCATTAGTTTCACCTGGGAATGTGTCAGAAGTGCAAATCCTCAGGTCAGCCCCAGAACTCCTGAATCAGACACGTGGGAGGGAGGGCTAACCAGCAACCTGAGCTTTAACAAGCCCTCTGCTGATTCCGGTGCATGCTCCAGGGTGAGAACCAGGCCTCCAGCTGGCCTTGGTAACCCTGCTCTGTGGGCGGCCGGACAGCAAACGCTGCAGGCTCGGCCAGCCGTCAGTCTCTGGGGGACCCCTCGCTCTGCCTCGGGGACACGAGGCAGGCATTGGACAACAGGCACTCTAGCACACCATGTCTCCACGGGCCCTGCCTCTGTGCTGAGGACCAGATCTTCGTCAAAGCAACCTCAGGGGACCACCTTTGCAGGCCTGACATCACCCCAGACGAACTTCCTCAGGACAAGGCACTCACATGCCTGATGCTCCTAAAGGCAATCCCCCTCCCCTCAGAACCCCTATCAGCACCTCCTAGAAGGACAAATCAGACTCTATCCCTCCTCCTCCATGAAGCCCTCCTGGATGGGGCAGGTGGGGAAAGACCTTCCCTTCGCCCCCACCATGGACTTGGTATCCACCTCTAAATGCCAACAAAAGAAGTGATCAAAGATTTTCTCCAAAACCACATAGAAGCCAGGTGGAATATACCCTCCTAAAACACACACGTGGCAGGGAACAGTGAACATGGGAACACGTTAACTAGCAGTGAGGAGAGGCACATGCAGACACACAGACGTACGTACACACACACACACAGACATGCACACACACAGACGTGCACACGCACAGACGTGCACACATAGACGTGCACACACACACACAGACGTGCACACGCAGACAGAGACGTGCACACACGTGCCTGCACACAGCCAGACCGGTCGAGGGCTCAGCACGGGGACAACTATCTCCATCAGGAAGGGGCCGCAGACAAGACAGCGAAGAAGTATACTGCCCTGGTGCTGGAAGGCAGAGGCCTCGAGAGAGGCAGTGACGAGCCCGAGGCCACCCAACCAACCCATGACGAGGCACCAACATAGGACCAGGCCCTACCAGCTGCTGCCAAAACCGCCCACCAAACCACCTGCAGAGGACGAGTATATGACAGACACACCCACACTTCTCAGTCTCTGCGTCGTGTGACTCAGGCCACGGGCTTCTATGTGGCTTGGAGGAAGCATAACCGACCTGTGTCCCCTCGCCCCATGCAGGGCTGCAGGGAGGGCGTTTCCAAGCAATGGGGGCAGTGAGGCAAAGGGACACCCTAGCAGCGTAGCATGGACCCCCGGGAGCTAAGGATGAGTGTCTGAGGGGGAGGGGCTGGCATGATGGCAGCGGGAGAATAGCCCTGGTCCATCGGGCCTGGCCAGGGAGGCAGGTGCATCACTACCTCTTATCAAAGGTCGTCCCATGGGTCGCGAAGGCCAGGCGCTTCCGCAGTTCATTCCTCTCTCGGGTCATCAGCCGCAGCTGGATGGAGAGGTTCTCCACCTTCTCGTTCACCTGCCGGTCCGTGAGGAGGGGTGGCGGGGATGGAGCCTTCCCGGTGGTACCTGGCAGGGGAAAATCAGTAATAAAGTGAACTGGCATTTAGATAGCACTCGCTAGGTGTGCCAGGCACTGTTCTTAGTCCTTGGCCTGCATCAGCTGCGCCCAACAACCCTACCAGGGGGGTCCTGCTAGCATCTGTCTTTCAGATAACACCAAGTCAGGAGTAAAGGGGGAACGGAGACCTAAGCCCAGGCTATCTGCTCCAGCACCCCAGCAATACCCACCCATTCTGCTGGCCCTGACTGGAGACCCCTACTCTCTTCCCAGCCCGGTTGTGACACCTCCAAGATGGAACCCTTTGGGCCCTGATCTGCGCATCTCTGCCTGGTCTGGAAACAGCAGCTATTCCCAACCCCTGGGCATGGAGAGGCCAATCTAAGAGAATGGAATACACAGCTTGAGGAGGAAGGGACAGGCGGGACCTAGTGAAGCTTCTGAGGCGCAAGGCAGCTGGCTCTGAAGCTGGGGCCCAGGGGCTGTGTTCCCACCCCCACCCCAACCAGGGCTGAACACACTACACAGCCCCCTTCTCCAGCCTCTCCAAATGTCCAGAGGACCTGCCCCAGCCGGCCCAGGGCTGTGGGCTCAGAGAAGGCTCTCAGGGAGAGCCGCCCACGGCTAAGGTCAGTGTGACGTGATGCAGGCCAAGTCCTCAGGCCTCTGGCTGCCCAGTCCTTATCAGGCCCTCATCACCTGTGCCCAGGACTCTCCCAAAGGAAACCCCATGCCTTATGCGATTACTAAGGACCAGCAGCAACAGTGACCACCAGCAGTACCTCTGACGAGATCCAAATCCTTTTCTAAGAAGAAAGCATCTCACTCAAATGTCCAGGAAACAGAGACAAAATCCGTGGTGCTTTTATCTTTAACTCTGTCCACACATTCACCCGGGATATCCACGCTAACCCTCAGAGATCCTAGGTAGGGTCACAGGAACTCACAGCAGCCATCTCATTTTATGAATGTGACCCGGGAGGCCGATTCACCACAGGGAACACAGTGTCTGTCTCCCCTGCAGCCCTAGAATGTGCGAAGGGCAAGGTGCAGGGTCTTCTGACCCTGGGCCATCTTGACCACGAGCCCCCGACCTGATCCTTTTGGCTGACTGCTTGTGCAAGCCAAGCGTCCCCCAAAACAAAAGATGGGCACTCAGGTATGGTCTCGCATCCTCCAGGAGCACCAGGGAAGTTGGGGACTTTGACACTTTTGGGGGACAGGCTAGACCACGGTGTGAGGTAGGAGCTCCCACCTCTCAGTTCAGCGTTATCCCAAATGGGAACCCCAACCACTGAATCGGGCCCCCCAACCCCAAAAGTGCATGTTATTATAGAACCGCCGCCACCACCACCGTAACAGCTGGGACTGCTGGGCTCCGGGCCAGGCCTCTGGGTCAGAATGCCCTCTGAGGTGGGGCCCACAAGCATCTCCCCCGCCCCCACATAGTTCTACTCCACAGCCTAAGAAGCCTTCCCTCGCCTCTCCCCAAAAGACCCTGGACCCTCACCCCTGCTCCCGGAGTTCTGGAAAGCAGCTGGTTACAGCTGTGTAGTCTCTGTCACGTCCTCTTCTGGCAAACGAAGTCACTTGTAAGAGCCTTAACCCAGAGCCAGGTCTACACCGTCATCCAACCTGCAATAACTTAGCCGGTGCTCTGACAAGTGAGGCTTCCTCTGGACGTGTGTCGGATGCCCCTCCCGCTGATGCCTGTGAGTCACCCTCTAACTAACTTTAGGGGCAACGATCCATGTGGGACAGACAAACCCAAGAGAGTGGGATGAAAAGACAAGGAGCACCTGGAAAGGGGGGATCTCAGTGTTCACAGTCACCACGAGCCACAAAGCAGCAGGCAACAGAGGTCCCAGGGGTTAATCTCCCACACCCAGGTGGGCACTCACATCGTTATCCCCGTTCTACAGCTGAGAAAACGGAGGCCCGGCAAGATCAGGGAGCGGACTCAAACCTGCATGAAGAGCCAGTGATGCCCAGGATGAGAGCCCAGGCACCTGCATTGAGAGCACACGCTCTCCACCTCCGTGCCTCACTGCCCCCAAACAGCCATGACTCGTCCTCACTTCCTACCTGGCGGTTTCTGAAACGCATCCCATCCCCTTAAGGAAGTTGCTGCTGCTATTCCCATTTTACACAGCAGGAAACAAAAACGTATCAAGATTAAATGAACTGTCTAGGTCACAGAGCCAGTAAATGACAGCACTGAGTTTTGGATCCCCCTCCATCTACCTGACCCCAGAGCCCAAGGTCTTCACCTGAAGGTTCGCAAACTTTCTGAGCTTAGGATCACTTTACGATCTTAAAAATGACTGGGGACTCCCAAGAGCTTTGTTTACATGGGTTATAACTCTCTAATGATCACCACCGGATTAGAAATTAAAACTAAAAAATTTTAAATATCGGGTGCCTGGGTGGCTCAGTTGGTTAAGCGACTGCCTTTGGCTCAGGTCATGATCCTGGAGTCCCTGGATCGAGTCCCGCATCGGGCTCCCTGCTCAGCGAGGAGCCTGCTTCTCCCTCTAACCCTCCCCCCCTCTCAAGTACTCTCTGTCTCTCTCATTCTCGCTCTCTCAAATAAATAAATAAATCTTAAAAAAAAAATTTTTTTTTAAATATCTATGAATTGGGGTGCCTGGGTGGCTCAGTCATTAAGTGTCTGCCTTCGGCTCAGGTCATGATCCCAGGGTCCTGGGATCGAGCCCCACATCGGGCTCCCTGCTCAGCGGGAGGCCTGCTTCTTCCTCCCCCACTCCCCCTGCTTGTGTTCCCTCTCTCGCTGTGTCTCTCTGTCAAATAAATAAATAAAATCTTTAAAAATAAAAAATAAATAAATATCTATGAATTTTAAAATAACTGAAAATCCATCCCATGTTGACATAAGATTTTTTTTATGAAAAATTAACTACACTTTCCATTACAAAACAAAAAAAAATGTAGCAAGAAGAGTGGCATCGGGGCACCTGAGTGGCTCAGTCAATTAAGCATCTGACTCTTGATCTCAGCTCAGGTCTTGATCTCAGGGTCCTGAGTTCAAGTCTCGCCTTGGCTCCCACGCTGGGCGTAGAGCCTACTTAAAAAAAAAAGTGGCATCGCTTTGCATCTTTATAATGCTGTTGATGTCTGGCTTCATAGAGATAGCTACAGTCCCTTATCTGCGCAGTATCACACAGGATGGATGAACCTGTAGAAAAGTCTGCTCGGCAGCAAAGTCTGTGTGAGGATGACAGTGGAAAAGGCAAGTGACATCTTAGAATCATTATGAAAGCAGTTTTGACCTCACCGGCCTCCTGAAAGGACCTCAGGGACACCACGCCATGCTCCAAGAACAGGTGCTCTGTGCTCTAATCAAGTCCAAGAAGTATCACAGAAACATCAACTCGAGAGTTTCAGAAATGAAAAGCACCACCAGGCTCAGCAACGTGCCTCCAGGGAGATAAAGGATTCTCACCCCATTTGGGGAACAAGGCAACAGAAAGATGCATCCCTTCTTTGGCTTTTGAGGAAGATGGAGAGAGAAGCAGCAGGACTGAAATCGGGGTCATCAGATCTGTCGCCACACACAGCCACGGCCTCCTGTCCCAGCCTCCAGCAGGATGAGGACACCTGCTCTGCACATGTGAGGACCTGAGGGGAGCTGACCATTCAGACAATGAAGTGCGTGGACGTTGCCCAGCATAACGTAGGTGCTGGGTTCTGTGCTAAGGGCACCCTGTCCTTACCTGATTCATGCCCACAGCACCCTCCCAGGGATGTGCTGAGATCATCCCAGGAGAAACTGACATCCACAAAGACTGCACCGCCAGGTACACAGTGCACCCCAAGGCAAACGTGGCTCCAGCTCCAGAGCCAGGGCCTCAACCACGACACTACACTGCCTCCCGACAGGTAGTGCTCCAAGGTTCGAACATGCATGAGATACACAAAACAGAAGGCCAGCCAGGTCAGAGAAGCCATCAGACAGCAGACTGTCTGACTTAGGGGGACATGCTGCCTGGATGCCTATCATTCACAGTCAGGAAGGTGGAGGGCAGAGCAGGGCCACAGGACATCTCAAGAAGAATCCCAAGATGGGCTAAGCCTGGACATGCCAAATTAATGGCAAATGTTGCAGAAAATCCTCTCCATTCCCAGTCGACTAAAAATAAAGTTTTTCTGGGTGCCTGGGTGGCTTAGTCGGCTAAGCATCCATTCAGCTCAGGTCATGATCTCAGGGTCCTGAAATTGAGCCCCACATTGCTCCGTGCTCAGCAGGGAGCCTTGCTTCTCCCCCTGTCCCTTCCCCTGTTTGTGCTCTCTCTGTCTCTCATATAGATAAATAAAATCTTAAAAATAAAGGTGTCTTTTTTTGGTTGCACCTCAAGGTTGAAAGACGTTTTGAAGATGATGCAGCCCTCCCATCCAAATTGGTTGCCAGAATCCCCCAAATGGCCACCAAGACTGTTGGAACTCCTCCACGGTGAGGGAGCTCACTACTTTACAGCAAAGCCCAGCTAATATCTCCCCATAAAATTATTCTCTGTACAGAGTTTGAATCCGTCTCCCTCTATTTCCCCCACTGACCTAGATGTCCTCCTAAGGGCCACAAGGTACCTACAATCATAACTCCTCTTCTACACAACAGACCTGCAAGCATTTGAAGACAACTGTCACGTCCATTTATCACTATCAAAACAGCTACAGTTAAGAGGTGACAACACCAAACGCTAGCAAGGGGCGGGGGCGGGGCAGAGAAACTAGAATTCCCAAGCATCGCAGGTGGGAATATGAAATGACACAGCCACTTTAGAGAACACTTTGGCAGTCCCCCTTTTTTTTTTTTTTAAATAATCTCTACACCAAATGTGGGGCTCGAACCTACAACCCCGAGATCAAGAGTCACATATTCTACCTACTGAGCCGGCAGGCACCCCTGGCCATCTGTTATAAAGTTACACATGCATTTACCCTATCACCCGGTAATCCCACTCCTGGGTATTTACACAAGAGGAAAGAA